GCAAACGTTAGCGGTTCACATGAATATTCTGCATGTTTGTGATCAGTGAGTAAAAAGTAAAAGGAAAAAGAAAGGAAAAAAAAAAGAGAGAGGAAAAACCGTTCTTCACCATTTCCCCCCTGTTTTGTGACATCCATTAATTGTTGCTTACTCTACCAATAATAAAACCAAAGGTCTTGCTCATGTTTAATGAACTACTTGGCTGTTTAAATAAAACAAGTGGCTTTAAACAGAGTATTATTGTACTGTTAAATTTCTTTTCATGAGCTTTATAATTCTTAACCAAAATCAAGTGGGTCATTGAGAATAAGAAGTAACGCGCCCACTGCAAACTCTTGACAATATACTACAAAATTGCCAGCCGCGATCGGCTAGGAAAAGGCATATTTTCCCGTCACGCAACAATTCTAGTGCTCATCGTCCATAATGTCTCCTTTAGAAACCATGGCTCTCTCATACCCCACTTCTTCTTCTTCCGTTCGCCTTCATAACTTGTACTTCCTCCATAGCTTCCACCTCCTTCTAGTCGCAGTTTTCTCAGCGAGCTCCATTCCATGGCGCATCACAGGATGCTTTCTGTAAGGTTTGGAGAAGAAATCAAATCTTCTTCGAGAATGAAGCATGATGGGATTAGAAATGGCACTCTACGTGGTAACAAGAAGCAGGATCCAACATGGGAGGAAAAGCATATAACTCCTTCCAAAGGAAGAATCAACGAAATGTTTGCAGAGACAAGACTTTATGAGAGTCCCCAAGGGCATATTTCATTAACAGGTTCTGCAGGGTCGATTCAGTCTGGTCCTGTTTTCTTTTCGAATCGAACCCGCAAGAGTATCCAGAGCACATCATCATCGCCGTCATCATTTAGATCTAGTAGAACTTCACTTTCCAGCTCCTCTGGAGGGAAAATAACGGGGAAGAAGAAAAAGGAGGAAAAAGGAGCATTGTTTTCTTGCATGGGACGAAAATCATGCAAGAACTCAAGAAGATCACCGGAACGTGCAAGAGTTAATGAAGCGTTGATCATCGAGAGAGCGTGCGTGGTGGAGAGTCTGCCACAATTCTGGGCAGATAAGTACCGACCTGCTTCCCTGAATGACTTCGTTTGCCACAAACAAGAAGCTCAACTTCTCAAGCAATTTGTAAGCTCAGCTTTCTTATACTTCTCCTGCTCTGCCCCTCAATGGCCGCTGATGTATTAAAATAAGACCTCTTGAACCTTGAAAATTTTTTACGCCAATCCTAGTCGTCCCGAATTTTATCACGATTACATAAATTTATCATTTGTTATTTAAAACTATAATTCTTATGGAATAAATAATGACATAAAAATCCCCCATGATTGATTCTTAGAATATGTTTATATTATTTTCGCAAAATAAGGAGTTGGTCTTTATTTTCAATGGAAAATTTCAAAAATTGGAAAATGAAAGAGACATTGTGTAGTTATTAAACAAATTGAGAATCATGTAGTTCCCTTTTTTTTTTTTTTTAAAGTTCATGTAGCTCCCTCTTAGTTCAAAATAAGCATGTATCAATTGTTAAAAAAAACTTATACAATTTCATCAAAATTTATAAGAAGTTCGATTGCAGAATAATTTCCGCATCGTATACTAGCGCTTCTAATTGAGATGATTTTGACTAATAGGTGTCTCTTGATGAAATTCCACACGCTCTGCTAAAAGGTCCCCCCGGTACAGGGAAAAGAGCCTTAGCAATGGCTCTTCTGCGAGAAATATACGGCGAGGAGTTTGGAACGTATGCATCTTGATTTGACCTCGCCTTATATATTTCACAATTTCTGAGCTCACCTTACTGAACACTTTTTGATGCAGTTATCCCACGATATAAGATATTTCCCCTTTCAGGTACAGATTTCCCAAGTTCTATTCATTCTAACCTTGATTGAAACCCATCTCTGAATCTCGTGGTTAGTAAATGACAGGAAGGTAGGCCTACGAAAATAAGTGTTCCAATAACGTTCAGTCGTCATCACGTGGAACTAAACGTAAATTTGGAGCGGAATGCTAAGCATGCTTTGATTGGGTTAGTGAAGGAAATGAACTGTATCTATGCAGTAACACCCCAAGATGCCAATCTCAATATCAAGTCAGATTGTCAAGGTCAGTTCAAAGAATATGCACATAGACTTGTACTCTACTTCTCACAGTCTGTGAGGCTACTAATAAGCAGCATGCTTTAAATCGTGTTCAGTGGTAGTTCTCTATGAGGTTGACAAGGCAGGACAGGACATCCAGCACATAATCTCATGGATTATAGATTGCCACTCCCAAATATGCAAACTAATACTCTGCTGCCAAGATGATGTTGACATTCCTGACTCTGTGAGGAACCTGCTCAAAGTGATTGAGGTTCGTCCACCTACTATTACTCAGGTAAGAATACAGCTTTTTTGTTCCTCTTCTTATTTGGTTTGAACTTTAAGGATTTAAGTGTTGTAAATACTGATGTGGAACCCCAATATCCCAGATTGTAGAGGTTCTGTTTGAGATAGCAAGGAAAGAGGATATTCATCTATCAATGAATTTTGCTGCTATGATTGCAGCAAAATCTAATCAGAATCTCAGGCAAGCTATCATGGCTCTTGAGGCATGCAAAGCATTCGAGTAAGATGATGAAATGACAAAACTGCACAACCCCTCAGATTGCATTACCAAGTGTGGATCCAGACGGCTTAAAGAGGAAAAAAAAAAAATTTAACTTCTGTTGCTTTGCATCAGAGTGAGGGAAATATGATATATAGAAGGATGGATTTCTTACCCACGTTTGCATTGTTTTGTTTTCTTGTTCTACAACATCTCAGTTAAGGAAACCTGTACTTTTCTATGCAGATATCCATTTTTGAAAGAACAGCCAATTTCAATTGGATGGGAGGATGTTGTAATAGAAATTGCTTCAGAGATCATAGCTGATCCATCAAATTCATGGTACCAAAATTTCAAAATGGAAAGGAAAATCTCTATCCATGTTTTGAAGACTGCAATAGATCAAATAGTGTTTTCATTTTAATTCTTTTCTCTTGTGGTTTGATCAGCCTAATCTCAGTAAGAGAAAATTTCAGAAGCTTATGGAGGATTTTGTTCACCCAAAACTCATTCTCCAGGTGATGAATCACTTATGTCTTGTAACACTTAACCAAAATACTACCTCCAATCCTAATTATAAGATTTCATTTGTAAATTACAAATAAAATCTTATAATTAGAACATGAGGTAGTAGTATTTTCATTTTGTAATGGAACTTGTGTCCTGACACATGCAGAAACTAGTGGAAGAACTTTTGAAAAATATCGAAGCCAGCTTAAAAAGGGAACTCTACTATTGGCACGCTTATTATGTGAGTTTCTCTTCCTCATCAAACTTTCTACAATATGATACAAAATTAGTATACCAAGTCGTATGTTTCCACTTTACAGGACAAAAGACTCCCACCTGGAACTATAGCTTTAAACAAGTTAGCTGGTAAAGACATCGAAACTCTTCTAATCCCTGTCAAAAAACAAACACGAGTGACACCAGAATTACTCATTTTGCATATAACAAGATATGCAAAGTCTTGCTGTTTTAGTACATGAGATTGATATGCAATTCTCCGCAGAATTTGTGGCCAAGTTTATGAGCATATACAGAAAGAGCTGTGTCAGCAGGCCATATATGTGAGCAGATATGGACTTCTCATCTTAATCTGCTAAATCAAAAGGAGAATGGAATTTCAGTATAACGGTGATGCGGAGTCCGAGGTTCTCAATGGGATCATCAACATTGAGCACACCTATGTATGATGAACATGAGCCGCACTAGGCAGTGTTCTTGTAAAACACAGTGAGAATGAATAGCAGCAGATAAAGATAGATGTTGGTAAGGAGTTTCTTGGACGCGTACACACTATCAAAGAAAAACCTCTGATTTTTTCTTTTTTCACATACAAGTTCATGGCAAAAAATGTGCAGATAAAACCCCCTAACTTTATTTCAGCCGATGGAATTTCACTTCTATTTCATAACGTGTTGAGTTCGTTTCTCAACTGGGCTAGTTCTCACGGATCAAATCACGCTTCCCCCAAAAAGATAAGATGATCCTCCAACAGTTATCCCCACAGACTAGGACATCAGGCATGCTGTGGAAGGGGCGGTTCCAGCTGTGAAACATAATAATACTCCAAAACAAATGAAAGATAACGTTGGACGAGGAGGATGAAAGGCCCCAAAATAAATAAGGAAAATGAAAGGGGTTCGTAATTTCCAATGTCATTATGTACCTGGACAATTGTCTTTTAATATGTTTCCCAATGGGGCCATCGCTGGAGCGATTACGCCAAAGCAATTGCATTTCTTTCCACCGCAACTATTGTTATTTGCTTTTCTTGGCTCCTCGTATCCTTGTTCTCAGACAAGGTTTAAAAAGATAATTTTCAATAAAAAGTCTTAAGAGACCATAAAATGCTTCTATTATGCTTTACTAAATGTATCTTAGACTTGAATTTATGAGTTAAACGAGTTATGCCATTTTTTAGAAGTACTATATGGAAGAAATAATTATATAAAATCTCTCTTTCTATTAATGGTCTTGTGAGACGTCACAGGTTGACAATCTTGCTGGACACTGGCCAGGAAGATCCTGACCATGTGCCTTGAAAATGTACGCTGGCCAATTCATGTTGGAACAAACAGATCTTCGCCCATGAATCCTACACTGCAGCCGATCTTATTTATTCTATCTGTTCATTCTTTTATTTACTGCACTCACAGTGCCAAATCTTTTGTAACTCCTTTTGTTTCTTTTCAGCCGCCCTTTTTTTATTGATCTGCTTGCTCGTAATCACTCATCATTTCATGAATCTCCCTTTTTCCCTCTGTGAAAAAAAAAAAAAAAAAATTCCTCTCGGTGTTGTGGGAAGCAAACGTTGCGAGACACAAATAGGAGTGCGTGGCACTTATAAAACGGGGCTAACGGACGACACGTGGCGATATTCCGCTGCTCGTTTCTGCGAACGGGAGAAGGAGAGCAGCAAGGGAAACAAGTGAGGGGAAACGCTGCGTCTTGTGTTGAGTCCTCTCCCACTCCTGCTCCCATTCTGGTGGTGCGACTTGTTCGATTCTCTGCCATTTTCTCTGCTGATGTTCTGTTGCTCAATGCTTTGGGTCCTCAACTGATACCCAACTCCTCAAATCCCTGAACTGATCAAAGTAATCTGGGCTCGATTCAAAGACAGGAACATGGGAACCTTGGGTAAAGCATTCTACTCTGTTGGGTTCTGGATCCGTGAGACGGGCCAAGCCCTCGATCGCCTTGGCTCCCGTCTTCAGGGAAACTACTACTTCCAAGAACAGCGTATGTCTCTCCCTTCCTCTATCTTCTGAAACCCTAGAGAGACTGCGTGATTCCTGATATCCATTTTGAGTGCCTTTACTTTTCAACCATCGATCCCTATCAAATGTTGTAGTTGTATCTGGATTATTTGCGGTTAATGTGCCAGCAAATGTGTTTGTAAAGCCCCACCTTCATTATTCCATTTTGTCTCCTAGGAGGAAAAAAAATGAGGAAACTTGGAATTCCTTTTTGGCACTTTCGGCTTAAGGTCTCGTGTTTAATGGCTTTCAAAGTCCTTAATCTCGTTGTTCTGCCTTACATTGTTCGGTACTTTTTTTTCTTTTCCGTTTTTAATCAGATATGGTTCTCCTAAACGTAACAGATTCTGTGTTTCTTGGCAGTTTTGTCTTTCGTAATACCTAGTTGTGTAACTAGGGCTGAAAGATTATATATTTAGCTCTGCACTGCCATAAATTTGAAGTATCTTTCCATCTTGGCCAATGACGTTTCATACCATCTCATTTCAGAGTTTCCTTTGCTTTCTCCCCATTCCCTTTTAATTTGTGGTTCTTTTCAGTGTCTAGGCATCGGACTCTCATGAATGTATTTGACAAAGCTCCTGCGGTTGATAAGGAAGCATTCGTAGCCCCTAATGCATCAATAATTGGCGATGTTCAGGTTGGGCGGGGTTCTTCCATATGGTATGGATGTGTCCTGAGAGGTAAATTGCCCCATCATCAAAACTCTGAAGTTACCTACAATTTTAGCTCATTGATAATGCGATTTATTATTTGATTTGAATGGAAATTCTTCTCGATTCCTTGATGAAGTTCGATCCTGAACTCTGTTAGAATGGTCTCATAATATCAGCCCCATTGTATACGAAACGCATCATATTAAGCTCTCCCACCCATTATTGTGAACATGATTTGATTTGGGGTAAAAAGGGAATGTATTAGTTGATTTGCGTATGTTGTGTAAATATTTCTGCAGAGAAAAACAGGCGATTTAGATTTTTGTTTTTAATATCAATACAGTACCGTATTGAACACATCATATTAAGCTTAGACAATATAACACCACCTTATCTGCACCCTGTCAGGGAAGTCACCGAATAAAGTTAAAATGAAAAAGTAAAAATAAAAGCACTGAGAGAAGGGGGGGGGTGGGGAGTTCTGCCAAATGACTTGGTCATTATCTTCAGACAAATAACTGGACAGAACAGAGGAAAAAAATACAGAGAAGGATTTCTTTTAATCCATATCTCATCTGTTAATATTTGTCTGAAGGAAGGAGTAGATATTTATACTTAAAAATTTTCCTTCTCTCCCTTTATCGGGAAAATAAGAGGACATATGAGATTTGACAACCAATAAAAAGGGAGAAAGAAAGAAATTTCTTTATCCCATTTATTGCTTCAACTATTTGCAGTTATGGGGTATCAAGGACAAACATCTTATCCATCCTACCCGTATATACATAAATACTCACTACATGTGTGATGGGGTTGAGTACCAATTTTGCTCACTTTTCCCTTTGTAAGTACACATGTGCTCCACCTGTTGTTTTCTTCCTTTAACTAATGGTACTTTTTGTGTGAACCTGTGAAGGTGATGCTAACAGCGTTAGTATTGGATGTGGAACCAATATACAGGACAATTCTCTTGTCCATGTGGCAAAGTCAAATTTGAGTGGGAAGGTCTTACCAACTATCATTGGAGATAATGTCACTGTAGGTTAGTGACAGAGTCATGGGTAAATTGTGACCATGTTGTGATTGTGTTGAGCATAGTCTTATTTCAAGTTTTGTCTAAATATTTTGACAGTTGTCTCCATTGAACTTCATAGGTCATAGTGCTGTATTACATGGATGTACTGTTGAGGATGAGGCATTTATTGGCATGGGTGCTACCTTGCTTGATGGGGTATATGTTGAGAAGCATGCCATGGTTGCTGCTGGAGCCCTTGTTAGGCAGAATACCAAGATCCCCTATGGAGAGGTTTGTATGATTTCTTTTTTTAAGAAGATACTTTTCTGGTCCGCTTCCTGAAAGTTGAATATTTAGATCTTGTCATGACCTGCATTTGTATATTGATGATATAGAGCATTCTCAATGATCCTAGCTGGTTTCAAGTGAACGGTTAGAAAGGGATTCAGCTTAATAGCTTGTGATGCCTGTGTTGCGATTATCATTTGTCTTTGATCCGTGGAGACTAGCTAAAATTAGTAAGGTTTTGTTGTAGGTTTGGGGAGGTAATCCAGCAAGGTTCTTGAGAAAGCTCACAGAAAATGAAATGGCCTTCTTCGCTCAATCAGCTTTAAATTACGCCAATTTGGCTCAGGCTCATGCTGCTGAAAATGCAAAACCATTGGATACGACTGAATTTGAGAAGGTTGTCCGGAAGAAGTTTGGTCGACGTGATGAGGAATATGATTCAGTCCTAGGTGTTGCCAGGGAACCTCCAGCAGAGCTTCCCCTCCCAAAGACCTCTTAAAATCTTTTGTATTAGGCTTCCTTGAGATTTGCTTGTGTGGATCTCTGTAATTTGCAATTTATCGGAGAACAGCTGCTTTTGTTTCCAATAATTGTGGGCTCTTGCTGATGTCACAAATGTCCTACTATGATGCAAATATTTGATCCGCGGCTGTGGTCATTTTCGCCCGTCAATTAGATCTTTCTTGATAATAATGACAGAGTAATCTGGATATGGTTTCTGGCACCTGAGGACAAATCTGCTAATCTCCGATTCTCAATTGTTTTGCTTGTGCTCCCCCCCCCCCCCTCCTTACCAGAAGTTTTGGTTGTGTTCAAAGTAAGAATAATTGAACTAAGATGCAATATTTCATACTCTGTTATGTTTCTTTTTCTCTCCTGATTAGGTTTCTTTGCTAGTTGCTTGGAGAAAGTTACTGGTTTGCAGAGGCCGTCATTTGACATTGCTGTCCTGTTCTCTTTCTCATAGCGCCCGAGTTGCACCTGGTGAGTAACAATCTTGATATTTTTGCCATAATAGCGTACTGTACTGTTATTTTGGCTCCAGCAATTGCAATTGCATAATGTGCTCCCTCCTCTGACCAGGGCACTTTCCTTTCGTCTTGTTTTCAAAGCCTCGAGACTTTTTTCTGGGTCTGCGGAGAACTTGGAGAGTCGAGATTGATATAATATTTATAACACTATCACCTCTTCATCTTAAAAAGTTGTCCGCATTGTGTGCACACTGAGCGAAGCAAATTAACATTCATACCAGAAAACCTTATCGGTACTTTATGTCCAATATGCTCCATAAAATCCACCTTGAGTTCTTTTAAAAAGCAGGATCAATAATTAATTAATACTGTTTCAGATTCTTAATTTAAGAACTAATTAACTAATTTAAATAGATTGAGAGAATTAGTTAAATTAGTTATTTGTAATAAATGAATGTTGGTTTTTTTTAAAAATATCCTTGTTAATAAGTGTATTGGTTAAAATTATTATTATTGCAAAGATTATATGAAAAAAATGGATAAATATGAGAGAAAAAGTAAATTGAAATTTTATATTTAAGATTAAAATAAAAATTAAACAAGCTCTTATATTAACAACTGGGATTAGTAATTGTTATATCTCCATACAGACACGTTTCTCTCATAAAAATTTACCTGAATTTTAATTATAATTATTTTAATATAAGAACTTGTTTGATTTTTATTTTAGTCTTAAATATAATACTTCAATTCACTTTGTCTCTCATATTTATCCATTTTTTCCCAATGTGGTCATTATAGTAATAGTAATTTTAGCCAATACACTTGATTAATAAAAATATTTTAAAAAAATAATACTTATTTATATAAATAACTAATTTAACTAATTTTTTAATACTACCTCATATCCTTAATATAAAACCTCATTTGACTTTTATTTTGGTCATAAATATAAAACTCCAGTTCATTTGTTTCTCATATTTATGTTTTTTTTTTTTCAAATAGCTCTTTTAATAATAGTAGTTTAAGCTAATACACTTAATTAGTAAGAATATTTTAAGAAAGATAATATTTATTTATTATAAATAATTAACTTAACTTCTTTTCTTAATTGATTTAAATTAGTCAAGTAACAGTATTAGTCAAAGACACGTGACAATTAGATGTGAGCGTGAGGAACCGACATCAACTGGCCAGTGAAACTGGCTCCCCGACGATGGTGGTCAAGAGTGTTTTCTCTGCGCTAACAGCAGGAGAGTCTGAGAAATCTGAACAACGAAGAGACCAACTTCGAAGTGCCTTAATGTACTGTGGCCAAAAATGAAGGTTCTTAACGCAGCATGGAGGCATTTGGGAGGCGCTGTTCGGCTTCATCGACGACGATAGCCACTTCCTTGGGCTTAGTCCTTTTTTTTCTACTGCGTTGCCTTCTTTGAGTTGGGTGTCAAAGAATTTAAGAGATTTTCAGTTTTGAAGGGAAAGAGCATTTGGGTCTTTCAGGCACACTTTCTATCGTGACAAATCTCGTTCCCTCCGCTGGCCAAAGGAACCACTTTTCTGTTAGATGGAGGTGAAGTCATTCCTCCAAGAATGAAGAAATGAATAGTAAAAGTGTGGCAGTGCACCAAACACGCTTCTGGAGAAAATGGAACCATCTCCCCTTTTCCCTTGGAGAATTCTCCTCCAACCAAATGGTGCTTCAATCCTCAAGTATACTCCCTTCCATGCCCGCACTTCTCCAACCTTCAAAATGTGGGTTTCATTTCCTCCTCCATACAAGGCCCATCACCAAATGCATGCATTTTCGGAATCGCAATGCGCACACCCTCAACATGTTTGATGAAATGCTTCAAGGTTGTCTTCCTGCACTTAACTCTTTTATTACCTCGTGTGTTCGCCGACGTGATGCTGCCACGGCCTGGGCAATCTTTCACCGTATGCGTCAAGTGCGTTCTGACATTGACGTTTATACTTTCGCTCCTGTTTTGGGTGCCTGTTCTACGTTGCCTAATGTAGTCCGAGGCAAGCAAGTGCATGCTTTGGTGATCAAAATGGGTTTTGATTCTGGAACTGTGATCGCAACTGCTCTTATGGGCATGTATTCCAAATATGGGCTTCTAGGCGAATCGTTGAAGGTCTTTGAAGAGATAGAATACAAGGATGTAATGACCTGGAACGTCTTGCTTTTGACTTTTCTACGGCATGATCTTCCTCGTGAAGCACTTGGTGTTTTGAAAGCAATGAAAGGGGAGAACGTGGAATTGAATGAGTTTACTCTGTGTTCTGTGCTCAAAACTTGTGCTTCTCTTAAGGCCTTGAAGCAGGGCAAGCAAGTTCATGGTTTGGTGGTCTCCATGGGTCGTGATATGGTGGTACTTAGTACTGCTCTCATTGACTTTTACTCGAGTGTTGGGCACATCAGCGAAGCTTTGAAAGTGTTTTATACTTTGAACTGTTCAAAAGATGACATGATGCACAACTCATTGATATCTGGATGCTTAAGGAATCGAAGGTACGAAGAGGCATTTTCTATCATGCGTATGATGAGACCTAATGCCGTTGCGCTCACCAGTGCACTTGCAGCTTGCTCTGAGAATTCAGATTTGTGGATTGGTAAACAAATACATTGCATTGCAATACGTAAAGATTTCACTTCTGATTCCCAATTGTGCAATGTCCTGTTGGATATGTATGCAAAATGTGGTAGGATTTTGCATGCTCGATTGTTGTTTGATCGAATAAATCGAAAAGATGTTATTTCTTGGACAAGCATGATTGATGCATACGGGAACCATGGGCATGGGCATGAAGCTGTGATGCTCTTTGAAAAGATGAGTGAGGATGGAACCAAGGTATTACCAAATTTGGTAACGTTTATAGCTGTTTTATCAGCTTGTGGTCACTCTATGTTGGTGGAGGAAGGACGAAAATGTTTCCAACTGGCGATGGACAAATACGGTCTTAAACCTGGTCCAGAACACTATGCCTGCTTCATTGATATGTTAGGTCGAGCTGATAGAATGGATGAAGCTTGGTCTGTATATCACAGCATGATTGAGCTGGGTACTCAGCCTACTGCGGGAGTATGGATAGCATTGTTGAATGCTTGTAGTCTTAACGTGGATGCTAAAAGAGGTGAATTTGCTGCGAAACATCTCCTAGAGTTGGAACCCGATAAAGCTAGCAATATTGTTCTTGTATCAAATTATTATGCAGCCATTGGAAGATGGGATTGTGTTGGCGAACTGAGAAATATCATGAGCACGAAAGGGTTATTTAAGGAAGCTGGGAATAGCTGGATTACTGTTACTGGCTCCAGTCAAGGTGCCAAGTCTTTGTCCGCTTGATTATTCCATCCTCTAGGTTATGTTTGAATCAAGGGGAATGGAGATGAAGTGAAAGGAACTAATGTGTTAATTTAGATCTAAATTGTGGGTCTAAATTGGACATTCCCTTCTCTAACCCTTTGTAAAAATTCATCCAAACAAAGCACGACATCGTCTGCTTGTAAATTGGCATGTGTTATGTTATTGCCTACGCAACAGATTATTCCTTTGGCCGTTTGGGGCAGGGGATAGAAACTGTCCAGAGTTATCCATTTCGGAGGCTATATTATCAGTTCTAGTAATGAGTTCCATGGGCTTCATTCCGATGGATGGTGAAGATGCTGCTTCCAATATCTAATATAAGAGTTAGTTGGTGGTTGAATTTGATTCCAACTATAAGATTTCGATTTATTTTGTTCCTCGTACTTACAATTTTTTCCCGAATTATTTTTATTAATTCTACATGTTAAGAAGTTTATATGAAGAGATAGTTTCAATACAAATAATTTAAAAAGATATTTTATAAAAATTAATAAAAAGGTACTTTAGGAAAATCAATAAGACAAATCACTCATTTAACTAGTTTTGTTAATTTATCCAAATTAATTAAATAGATCTTATTAATAGTTCTTTGGCCAAAAAACAATTTTGACATCTTCTGGCTGCTTGGATGGGAAGAAAAGTTGAGAGGAAAGAAAATGAGAGGAGAGAAAGTTAATAAATATCTAAATGGCTAAAATGTCCTTATCAAAATATATCATATTTAAAATTAAATCAAATTAAATATTGTAATAGAAAAATTATACTGACATTAGTATCATCAAATAATTTAAAATCAAATTATTTGATTTATATATATATTTTTTCATATTATTATGTTTTAAAACCACATTATTTAATAAAACATTGTTTTAAGATAAAAAATAAAAAGTGAATAACTTTTTAAATATAATAAAAGAAAATAAATATGCAGAAAAAGAGAGAGGAGGGGTAATCATGGAAATCTTTTTTTTTCCCCCCAAATCTCTCTATATATGGAGAGAAAATTTGGAGAGAAAATAAAACATGAGGCCCATCTTATTTCTCTTTACTTTTCCTTCCTCCCATATTTTCTTCCCTATCCAAGCAAAGGAAAACTTGTTTCTCCTCATGTTTTCCTCTCTAGTTTTCTTTCCTCCTCTATTTTCTCTCAATCCAAACAAGGGGTGAGAGACGAGATTTTCCATGCTCTTGTTTTCAACGTTACAAATGATGGATTCTGGTCCGTGGATTGTTTTTGTTGGAAGCACGTCACTCAGCCTAATGTATAACGCAAGCAACCTTATACCGCCAAGAATGGGTCCATAGTCTGACTGTTAAGATTTTTGGAATAAAAAAAATAGGTTAAACTCGAAGGATTCATACTTTATAAACTGGCATAGCTGAAAATCGGGACTAAGGTAGGATTCATATATTTATTTTAAATGCTCATCATAAATTGTTGCCTAGTTTAAGAAATTTGATGATACTCTCTTTACACTACGCATTATTTTAAATTTGTCTTGTCATGCATATAAAACAGGGGGTATGACAATAAGGTTCGAAGAGACTGAATTAATGAAAGGTATTGGCATGGGGAGTCTGGTGATCAGCGTTAAATCCTTTTCAAAAAATTTACAGTATAAAAAGATTAGTCATTATTACCGGCGGTAATTATCCTATAACCACCTAAAAAAAATTTTAGCTGAAAAATGATTTGTCAATATTGATTCAAACAAGTGCAAATTCGGAAATTTTAATTATAGATAAGGCAGTTAATCTTCAATTCATTTATCAACAAAAAATTTTAGAGACCTAGTAAATATTATTAATCCATTTTTTTTAACTAAATGTCATTTTGCTTATATATTGTTGTCTGGATTTGCAAAATGAAACAATTAAAGGAACAACGGTTCAAACTAGGTTTTCTATTTTTTTTGTTACGAATTCAGTTGAAGTTGAATCGTTCAAGCCTGGTTAATTGAATATAACCAGAAAGTTATCCTTATAATTGTTTATAATTTCTGGATGGTTTCTGTATTTATTGATGGAAATGTTTGAGACGGCACTAGAAAAGTCAACGAAAAATCTGTCATTGATCTTGTTTTTCAAGTCACAGCTGGAATACAAATTGGTAAGCTCAAGCAATGGCAAAGGTCAAACCAGACGGAAACGAGCTTGTAAACTGCGCAAAATTGGAAAATAACACATCTACGGTATGATTTAAAACTAGACGATGTAAGTATTACATCATTTTATTAAAATTTACTACCTCCGGTCCTTAATATAAGACCCTATTTGATTTTTATTTTGGTCCTAAATATAAGACCCCAATTCACTTTATCTCTTGTATTTATGCATTTTTTTCTAAGATAGTCCTTCTGATAATTATAGTCCTAGCCAGTATAGTTAATTAGTAAAAATATTTTAGGAAAAACAACACCTATTTATTATAAATAACTAACTTAACTTATTTCCTTAATCTCCTTAAATTAGTCAACTGAATCTTATAATTAGGACAGGAGGTAGTATTATAAATATATCCCGGTCCTAAACATAAGACCTTTTTTATAGTGTTTATGTTGATGTATTGATAATGACGCATTGATCCTACCACCTATTATTCACACAAGTCAAAAGGTTATTTGAGATATCAAATGAAATAGTATTATTTTGAGAAAGAAAACAAAAATTCATAAATAGAAGATCACTTGTATTATTCACTTGGAAGTTTACAAAAAATTGCTGTTAAGTAATATTACCATGAATAAAGTAGATATTATACTGTATTTAATACGTCAAAAAAAGGTAGACATTATGTGCCATTCATAATAGAAATGATCCGTTGATTCATTGACGAGCGGGGGATAATTGCCGGCAGTCATTGTCCTCTTCTCATTGGGTCATTTTTATGACGAAGCATCGAATAATAAATTGTCCGATCAAAGGGTTTTCAAACCCTGTAGTCTAGTCTTCAAATCCACCATGGTTATGAAATTCTGAAATCAACAAAATTCAAAACCAGCACAAGACAACATGAATAAATAACTGTATACAAAAGGACAATTATTATAGTAGCCCGCTTAAAATTTTCAGAATTCTTTGATATTTTAAAATAGTTTAAAAATTTTGAATAAGCCAATCAAGTTATATCTTTTTATTTTTTTCCCCATTGTTAAGTACTCCTTCTGATTTTTATTATAAGTTTTAAATAATTAATTAACAAATAACAAACAAATAGTTAAAATAAATTAAAAATAATAAATAGATTAAAAATATGATTTTAGTTGAATTATATTATTTTAATTATTTTGCAGTTCAACCACCTTTAAACTCACTGAGCATTGAAACTTGAATCATTATCCCAAAGGGTCAGATTTCTGGTTTGATTTTCAGTGTCCTTTTTTTTCCCCCTGATTTTTCGTATCTTTATTTTTCCCCTGACCCTGAATAAATGCTGTTTTTAATGAACGCCGTAATAAATGATCTTACTATTACGAAAGAGTATTTAATTTCGGATATATTTTAAAAAAACCAAAAATTATTCAGACAAAGTCAATTTATTTGGCAAGTTGCGGAGAAAAAAAAAAAAGAGAATTATAAAGAGATAAAAAATAATTACAAAAACAAGTTTTAAAAATTATTATTTACTACTTTAAAACTTGTTATCACATGATACTTAAGACTTTTTAAGAAATATTTTTTTTTAGAATCTCATTATAATTTTCTTAGAATAAAATTATCTGGCAAGTTGGGGCACATATAAAGCGGTTCATTATGGTGCTAAATTGTGAAATCCATCCTCTGACCGGCTGAACTCCTCAGAGAGGTCATTAAGGCATGTTCAGGTCAGCAAGCAGTGGGAGGGGAGCCGGCAAGTATGAGAAATTAGGGGAAGAAGCTTCTGGAAGTGGGGATGCATCAGTGAAAGGAGAGCTCAAGAGAAGCACAACTCTGGCTTCAACAAGAGAAACAGGGGCCAGTCTGCAGAGGAACCCAACGAAGAAGAAGGATAGCAAAGAGAAGAGCCATCCGATCTTCAGCTTCATGGATTTTGGAGGGAAGAAGAAGAAAACGACGGCCAGGCCTGAAATGGTGAGGTATGTGGAGTATCTCAAGGAAGCAGGCATGTGGGATTTGGATTCGGATGAGCCCGTCATTTACTACAAGTAATATAATAACAGGGCTTACCTTCTCTCTGTTCTTCTCCTTCTTCTTTGGATTTCAAGTTCAACGTTTCCGGCATGTCACCAACTGAAATCGTAATCCATTCTCGTTCGTTCCAAATTGCAGACACACATGTTTGATTCATCTTCTTTTGCTTTTGATGGAATCGATTTAGGTCTGGGAACGCGGCTTCATGCCCAATGAGACAAATACGAAAAGATTATTTAAAGAAAAAAAAAAAGCAAAACAACTTTTGCGCAATTATCTAATTTATTTATTAATTTGGATTGTATCTAATCCATTTTTATAGACAACAAAAAAATGTTTTAATCTATTCGATTTTATAGTAGGCTTCCTTCTTATGATATCTCTAATGGGAAGAAGAAAGGTCTTAAATCACTCAAAATTCGGGTTCTATGTTTTTTTCTTCTTTCTTACTCCTCCGGTATTAAGATCTGTTTAATTAATTTGATTTGATTAAAAAAATTATATAATTTAATTAATTGTAAAAAATATAAAATATTTTCCTTAAAACACTATAATCACTTTTCTTAATATCATCCCTCTTTCTTTTATTTGATTATGGTTTAGGTAGTATCTATAGGGATAATTTAAAAATAATTGATAAATATAATAAATAAATCTTATATTTATAATCAAAATCAACATAATAATTAGATTTTATATTAAAGATTGAAAGATTATTTTAATATAAAATAAAGATATGTCCTTATAATTACGCTCCTCTATAACTGATTTTTGGCAAAGTAGGGTGTACAGATATTGGGATGGACGTCTAATGGTGGAAGGGTTCAGTTCTAAAAAGAACAATAAAACACAAGTTGCAAAACCAAACAATTTACAAGAGTTTTAGGAAAGTAAATGAAAAAGTTATTTTTCAGTGGCATCACCCGTATTGCTTGTGGTGAAGGTTAAGGGTTTAGGTCTTGCATTGATATTCATTAAGTTCAAAGAAAAACAGTATTATAATATGAAAGTTAAATAAAACTACTAAACAAACACAACCTTAAAAAAAACTTTAGCAAAGAAATATTTGAAAATTAATATTTTAAAAAAATAAAATAACTTATATATCCACTTTTTTTGTGGCCGACTTCTCGAAAAGTTGCGTTATTAAATCAAACGAGGCCACAATCATTAAGAATTGAGAACTTCCAGTCTTCAAATTGGGCTAATTACTTTATATTTGAATATATTAAATCATACTCCTTTGATCTTTAATATAAGATATGTTTAACTACTTTAGGTAAGTTAAAGAAAGTAGTTCAATTAGTTATTTATTAAAAATATATGTTGGTTTTTCTAAAATATCATCTTAAATTATTTAAATTAAAACTACATTTTGATGCAAATTCTCTTAACATGTGCATTTAACAAGGTTAATTTAGATAAATAAAAGAGACAAAATAAAATAGATTCTTATATTTAAGATTAAATTTAAATATTAACTCTTGTATTAGGGATCACAGTTAATATTAAATTTCAATGAGAAAAGCATAAGGAACTACAACGCAGGAGAGAATCTCATATTGAGTTTGATTGACTCACTTTTGAGAATCTAATTTGGATGACTGTGAGATACTAAACCTAATATTGATTTTTATTCACTTTATACTACTCTCAGTCCTTAATATAAATATGAAAGTTAAATAACTAATTTGAAGATATTAAAAAAATTAATTAAATTGGTTATTTGTCATAAATATGTGTTGATCTCTCCAAATTATCCTCTTCAATTATATGTATTAGATTATTAGAGTTATCCCTTGATAGGAATCCTTACAATCACTAGTGATATTTTTAAAAAAATGAGAGACAAAACGCATTGAGATTTTATATTTAGAACCAAATTTAATTTTTAATCATAGGGGAGGTAGTAGTATTAACAAGTTTTCTAAGGTCACATTAAGGTCCAAATTTAAATTAGTTTGGACTACACCAGATGGATGTAAAGCTTTTCCAACAACGAACTAATGAATTAATGATATTTTCAAGATAAAAAGTATTTTCTCGTTATTTACTCTTACGTGCAAAAATCATATTTTATTGAAAAAATAACATAAAAAGAAATTAAAAATTATAATATTTCAATTCAGACACTTAAGAGGTTAAAATTCTAGGAAAAAAAGTCACTCCTGATCTGTTATTTTACAAATCTAGTTAAATAACAAAAATATCATTGTATCAAAAAGTTTATTAACAAGTTATAAATTGATAATGACAAGTGTTAAACAACAAATGATAAGAAATATACCGGCAATAACAAGTTATTTACTAATAAATTATGAATTGGCAATAACAAATGTTGAACAACCAATAACAAGAAATATACTGGCAATAATAAGTCTGATAGCTTTTTTTTAAAAAAAAATCTGATATAAGGGCATTTTAGTCATTTGACTATATTTGCAAAATATCATATTAGACATCACTTCCTTCCTTGGGATTTTACCCTCTTAGATATCTGAATTGAAGTATTGCAATTTCCAACTTCTTTTTAAGTTATTTTGTCTCTTTTAGTTCTCCTTTTCATTTTTGTGTGCAAAGCCACAAAACATAAATACTACTACCTCTAGTCTTTAATATAAGAGCTCATTTAACTTTGGATGAAAGGACAAATTTACCTATTGTAATATCGAAAAAGAGCACTAGGCATCATAATAAAATATCGGGAGTATAAATACACATGAACTTTTGAAAATGGAGTAAAAATGCCCATGCGGTTAATTGCTCCAATGTTGACTATTTAGAGAGAATATTTTGACTAAAAAATGCTGATGTGGTGCATACATGGCATAAAAAGAGTGAATCACCCATGAAATTTGAAAAACAAAAAAAAAACAAAAGAAAGAAACTCAACCCATGTCGGTTTAGCATTCACGTTCGACCGTTCCACAATCCCTAACAATGGCAGTGACAATGGCATCCATGGGTAAGCTTCACCGCTGTTAATGATAGCCATTAACACCAAATTCGAACATGGAATCTTGCAGAAGGTTACCATTAACACTAGAAAATTTGAATAAAAAACCCATAACTTGAATGAAGCAAATTGCTATAAAATCGCAAGGATGGGGAGAAGATGGAACAATAAAATTGCAAGCAAAAATCACAACAAAGAAAAAGAAGATGGAAAAAAAATCCAGCAGAGAAGATATAATTGTAGCATGGCCTCCATGTAGCTTCAGAACTCGTTGAACTTGCAAAATCCAAAAACCCATTGAACAGGAAAACGATTCCAGATGCACTTATTGTAGATGATGCGGAGTTCTTCGCCTTTTGCAAGTGGATGCCAGAGGCGAGAGAATGGTTCCAGATTTGAGATGCACCTGTCCTGTGAGATGAAGAAGCTTGGGATGCCCGAGATAGCAATGGTGATGGGCGCCGGAGATGGCAACAGTGATGGTGTCAGCGTCGATGATGACAAAGGTGGGGTGACTAGTGGAGGAGATGACTATAGAAGGAGATGGGTTGAACACGGTCAGAAGAGTTGAGGGTATAGATGGCAAGTGAAGAAAGAATTGAGGCAAGAATTGAGCTCCATGGGTATGAGGATGGAATTGAGTTCCACCGATTTTGACAAGACTGGGTTCCATAAGGAAGTGGAATCCAGTGCACCAAACATTTTATTTTTAGAGTTCCACTTCCACTTCCAATTCTCTGCCTCCAATTCTTTTATACCAAACGAAGCATTAGATTAGGCAGTAATTAAAAAAAAATAGAAATAATTTAAAGTGAGGTAATTATGGAAAAGAGAGAGAATATGACGAATAGGATTAATATGATCTGAGCTAGCGTGTTTCTATTGGACAGAGTACAAATCACGTGGACACTTAGTGGGACCCACAAAAAAAAATAACACCAGTTTACAGGAGTTAACGGCATGGGCATTTTTGTTTTGTTTTCAAAAAGTTTATGTGCATTTTTGCTCTCAACATTTTATTATAGTGCTTGATGCTCCTTTTTGATATTACAGTAGGTAAATTTGTTTCTTCACCCTTTAACTTTTATTTTGATTCTAAATATAAGATTCTAATCTACTTTGTCTCTTATATTTATTCATTTTTTTTCAAGGCAGTTCTTCTAATAATAGTAGTTTTAGCCAATACACTTAATTAGTAAGGATATTTTATGAAAAACAACACATATTTATTATAAATAACTAAATTAACTAGTTTTTTTAATCAATTAACTCTTATATTAAGATCTAGGTCATCAACTATCAATCGTCACACAAGCCCAGCATGGTGTCACGGCCACTGATCCATCGAAAATATACTTGTGATCCATAAAAGATGATGAGAAAATCCAGGTCCACATTTTTTTTTTTTAAAAAAATCCAGGTCCACATGGTCACACGACGTCGTATAGGAATATCACTTCGCCTCCTGAGTTCTGAGCACTGGATAATATTAGCAGAGGGAAGGAGCCAGCTGACTTCAACTGCGGACTGTGGGGCTCCGCAATGGAGCTAGTGGCTTCACAGTTATCTCTAACTCTTCCCAGAAAGAAATTTCCTTCTCACACTCTATTTCATGGGCTCATCTCCGGAGCTATATGCCGTCAAATCCCACTTGAATTTTCATCCCAGTTTGTTGCTTTTATAAATAGGAACGGTCGTTTTGAAGCATTTGCCCGTAAAAAAGAGACGGTCAGCGAACTAGAGTGTAGCAGAGAAGTCGAAGGAGCAGAGGAACCACATACCTCTTCTTCTCTGGACGATGACTTGTCTTTCTTGTCTCTTAGCGAGAAACCTGACAGAAATTTGGCTTTGTTGGACGATTATGAAGCGGAGGAGCTTGATTATGATCCCCACCCTGACCACCGAAGCGGTCTGTATCTTCAAATCCTAAGAAATTTTTTAGACTCCGTTTTATCACCTGTTTTGGACTTCTCTGTTTTGTTCATGGTGAAATTCAGTGGGTGCTGAGCAGACTATTTTTAATCTTGAAAAGCTGACATTGTAACACAAACACAATTATCTAACATTTACAAAATAACACACCCCGTTCAACTGTAAAGTCTAAAAATTTGACTTTATTGATAATTAACCCCTCTTTTGAGTTTTCTAATACTTATCTGTAGAGATGGCAAACACAGTTACACAGGATATTGATTTAATTAAAAAAAAAAAATTAGAGAGAGAGAGAGAGAGAGTAGGATAACCTAGGTGATAATTATCATATAGCTATAGCTTCTCCTCCTCCTTCCGTTGTATAAATAATGAAAGGCTTATGGAGAAGCTGATATGCAGTGGTTCTGCTAACTGGTAAAGGTGTAACCTTATATGCCTTTTGCGTTTTTGCTTCTAACTTGAATGAGTCCAATGCAGGGTATGTGGCTTTACTTGGGAAGCCTAACGTCGGGAAGAGTACACTAGCAAACCAAATGATTGGCCAAAAGTTGTCTATAGTTACACAGAAGCCTCAAACAACAAGGCACCGTATTCTTGGTATATGTTCTGGCTCAGATTATCAGGTTTGGACTTAGTGCAAGCTGATTGGTTTGATTTAGTCAGCCTGTTACCTGGGTGATGAAACTCATTATCATGCATGGCTATTTGATGTTCAAAATTTTAACGCAGAGTTCTATTTTTAACTGTACCTTTCTCTTGGCTATTCACTAAATTTCTTAGATGTCAGGAGGAGTCGGACACTTCTTAAAGATACTTTGAATCTAGGATTAATTCTGCTCCGAAATTGAGTTTAACTCTGCAAGTGGTATATGCAGTTGGTCTGGGATGAAAAAGCTATGATAATCATGATAAAAGTTTTTGTGAATATTAGTATAGTGTTGAAGTAATTTAAAATATACCCATTAAGAAATTTGTGACTACTGATTTTTAAATTCTGATGTATTATATGCACTATTCATGGTGACTGGTGAGCACTTCTGATTTCCTCATAGATGTGCTGTAATGTGAGAAATTAAAATGATGAGATTGATAGCTAGTTTTCCTGAAAGAAGACTGAGTCCATCCAGTTATTTCACATGCTAGTTGTCCTGAAAGAAAACCCAATATTGTCACGAGTTAAATAAATATTGAGTTTGCTAGGCTCTGGATATGTCTAGCCAAATTTTTTTAATACTTGTTTCTCTGACTTGAGGATTTACTGGCAGATAATACTTTATGACACACCTGGCGTTCTCAAGAAGGAAATGCACATGTTGGATTCAATGATGATGAAGAATGTTCGCAGTGCTGCTGTTAATGCTGATTGTGTATTAATTCTTGTTGATGCGTGTAAAGTTCCTGAAAATGTATGGTTCAGGGTTCTCAAAACTGTTTTTGTTTTTGTTATTGTGTTTATTTTTCTAATTGTTTCTTACTTGTAGATTGATGAAGTGTTGAATGAAGGTGTAGGAGATCTCAAGGATAAGCCTCCCACTCTACTGATTCTTAATAAGAAGGATCTTATCAAACCCGGGGAAATTGCAAAAAAACTTGAGGTTCGAACTCATTGATTGGTATAGATATTGACTGGTGCAAGTGAATTTACTTGTATTGGTGTGCTTTCAACACTGTTTTATGTCCTAAGTATTTCGCATTCTTTGCAGTGGTATCAGAAATATACTGATGTTGATGAGGTTATACCAGTTAGTGCTAAATATGGTCATGGCGTTGAAGATGTCAAGGACTGGATACTATCAAAACTTCCCAATGGACCAGCATACTATCCAAAGGTATGTTGAAAGTCAAAATTTCACTTTTGCCACTCAATCCTCCGTCCATGAATTATAATTGTTCAAAAGGACAGTGAGGATTGTTTCTTGTGCTATTAAATGCCTGACAGCATGGAAATTCAGCGAAAGCATTCAGTTCTAAAACTAAAATATAAGTTAGTTGAACTCAAAACGTGCATTGTATTGGGCAACCTCTGTCCGCCAGTGCGTTGTTATTAGCACACCAATTTGGCATCCTATCATCTTATGTCTCTGTCCACCAATGCAGTGCACACAACATGCAATTGCAGAAACAGTGGCAGTCACATGGGTTGGGGTGGCCTTGGGTTTTTTTTTTTTTTTGGGGGGGGGGGGGTTATCAGTGACAATTATGAATTATATAGTGCCTATACATTGGCAATAGCCTTGTAGCCTACCAGCATGAACAAATACTGTAGGTGGGAGGTTTGGTCATGTTTATGATCTCAGGCCATTAGTGCTTGCCTTTCTGATTTCTTTTTTTGTTAACCAAAAAAACAAGAAGAAGAGAGAATTGTGCCTATACACTGCAGAACTGGAAACTGGAAACATTAGATGAAAACCTGGCGATGTCTTAGACAATAATGAGTTGAAGGCTTACATTTCTTGATGTTTGTGGAATGTTGCTATTAGATGGATTTGTTGATTGCAATCCTTTTCTTTTGTAAAGTAACAGTTATTGACCTCTGTTTTATGAAGAAACTTAATATCTGTCCAGTTATCATTTTCTCAAAAATAGTTTTTGGCCTTGCAGTTTTCCTGGTCTAAAACCAAAATAATGCAAAAATTCTCAAAATCCTATCAGCACAGGAAAATTAATGTCTATATATATATATATATATATATATAGATGATTGTCTCTGGCATGTATTATGTTTTCCTTAGTGTTGTTGATCCTTCAGGACATTGTCAGTGAGCACCCAGAAAGATTTTTCGTGGGTGAAATCATTCGAGAAAAGATCTTTATGCAGTACCGAAATGAAATACCCTATGCTTGCCAGGTAACCATCAAATAGTTCATGCTTGGTTTGTGATGTAGTTGCCTTGTTTCAATGAAAAGGAAAAAGTTAAGAAAGGAGAGCAAAGGAGAAAGGAAAAGGGAAAAAAAAGAAGAAGAAAGAATTAAACAACTTGTTTTCTTAGATTTGTTTAAAATAATCATATTTTCTATTGTCCAGGTGAATGTTGTAAGCTACAAGGGTCGGCCCAATGCAAAAGATTTCATACAAGTGGAGATTGTTGTTGAAAAAAATTCACAGAAGATTATACTTATTGGAAGAGTACGTCACTTATATCAGATTTCCATAATTCATATTCATTTGTGGAATCCTGGGGTTCATGTGGTCTAGGCATAATGTATTGAACAATGCTAATGATGCTATTGTGGGCTTGGCTACTTCAGCGTCCGTTTTGAGTTTTGATCTATTCTGACTAACACTGAATTTGAGAAACATTGGCTGAAAAGATATCTTGGCATGGATCACAATACAATAAAAATCTTAAATATAAATGTCAAGAATTTCTGTTAACAGATTGAAAATTAAATGGTTTCTAAATATGCCTCTTCCCCATGCACATGCCTTTATGTGCTTCATAACAAGCACAATACAGTAATTTCTTTTGAGTTTTGTGCTTTAACCTGTTCAGGAGGGAAAGGCTTTGAAACTTCTTGCGACAGCTGCCCGTCTGGACATTGAAGCCTTTCTGCAGAAGAAAGTTTATCTTGAGGTGATTGCTTATACCATTTTGCAATGTGTGTTTGTGTGTGTGGCTCAGTTTAGCCAGATGACCAGATCTTGCATCATTTTGGTGCTTCCTTTAATAATCTCATCAAGCTTCAAGTGTTAGTGAAGTACTACCTATATGAACTTTTCTTGGACTGGAACTTAATTACCAAGCTCGGTTGTCTAAACAGATTGAAGTGAAGGTGAGAGAAAACTGGCGACAAGATGAAGGGCTTCTTAAGAACTTTGGATATGGGGGACAGATACGGGTTCTTTAATGTGAAGATACATAGAAACGTTCGTCAGACATCAATCGTATTTAAGATCATCTTGCTAAAGGTGGCATCAGAACTTGAATAGCATGAGATATTGATTGACGCTGCCTCCTTCCTCACCTTTTAGCCATGTCAAGTGATCCCCTATAGTAAAAATGGGGATCACCACTAACGACCAAAACAGTTAAAAAAAAGAAGGGAAGAAAAAGATCTGAGTTGGAAAGAAATTAATGGTGATACAGCGCCCGCATGGTAGTATATTAAATAGAGATTGCAGAGCAGGAGAGTTGAAATCGATGAATCAGGGATTCAACAGTTTCAGGGGAACTATCCCAAGACCTGTTTTTTGTTCCTTTGTAATGAGATACATGATAATAGCAGCCTCACCTAAAATTTTATTCTGGAGTTTTCTTTTTCTTGAATCTATTTTCCTGTTTCATGTGCTAATTGTTTGTTTTTTATGGGTTTGCATTATCTTCATGTCTATCAGCCCCTTGGAATCTATCTAATGAAGCTAAATTATGTAACTTGCCAATCACAATCAAAATATCATTTGTCTACAACAGGCTACCAAACCCTTTAGGGTGTGTTTGGTATGAGGGATTTAAAGGAAAGGGTAGGGAGAGGGAAAGATTTTAATTATTTCTCCTTGTTTGGCAACACACAAATTTTAAGAGGGGTGAGAAAATTTTAAAAATTTTTCCCTCTCCTCCCCAACCTCCCCTCCAAAATTGGGAGGATTTGGAGGGAAAGGATAATATTTTGCTATGTTGTGACTATTATGTCCATATTTTGTCATGTGATAACCATTATATCTATATCTTAAATAAAATAAGAGTGAAATTGTCTATGTCAAAATATTTTTTCCTCACCTCTTTTCATGAATCAAACAAAATAATATTAAAACTCCTCTCCTCCTCTCTTTTTTTATAAATCCAAATAAGGTAATATTAAAATCCTTTTACTATCTTTTTCTTTTTCCCCTTCCATTAAAATCCCTTTCCTTCTCTTTTTATCATTGAGCCAAACAGACTTTTAATGTAATTTCGGAAAGCGGCTTGCATTGATTGCCACAAATTATGATTTAGGCTATCCTACGTGAGGGGACTTTAAGCAGGCACCTTTTAAAGGGCAATGAAGTCACCTACTTAAGCCATGGGCCTTCATGATCGCCCATTGACTCCATTCAGGTAATTATGATTGGAAGGCTCTTTTACCTAGTACACCTCCACCCGCCCCATCTTGGTTAGTAGGTTCCAACGTGGAGCCTCAGGCTGCGTTTGATACGAGAGATTTAGAGGGGAGGGAAGAGAAGGGGAAGGATTTTAATCATTTTTTCTTATTTGGCAATATACAAATTTTAGGAGGAGAGGAAAAATTTAAATTCTTTCTCCCCTCCCCTCCCCTCTAAAATTGGGAGGATTTGGAAGGGAATGGCAGTGTTTTATCATGTTATGATCATTATACCCATATTTATTTTTAATATCCCTCTACTATCTTAAATCCTTTTTTTCTTGTCTCCAGACGCTGCTCTCTTTACATGATCAAATATTTCATTTAAAGATGGAATATAGTACAAGTTATGGATGAATATTACTTCAACTTTCTTTTCAATAATACTGCACGCTCTAGAGTATATTAGAATTGTGATATAAGTATTGCTCAATATATTAAATGTTATTTATAATTCTATTTTATTAAACATTCTATAAAATTTGAAAAAAATAATCTTAAATAAATAAGGGCAAATTTGTCCATGTGAAAATATTTTTCCCTCCTCTCCCCTCATGAATCAAATAAGGTAATATTAAAACCTCTTCCCTTCCCTCTTTTTTATAAATCCAAACAAGATGATATTAAAATCTTTTTACTCTCCTCCACTCTCCTTTCCTCAATTAAAATCCATTCGCTTTTTTTCCTCTCATTAAGCCAAATTGACCCTTATGTATTGAATTTACTGTCCTAACGAATTGAATTCATTTCCCACCATGAAAAAAGTATTCATCTTTTTATGCCTTGCTACTTGCTACGACGAGTTTGACGCCAGAATATTTGTGCAAGTATCTTCTCCTATCAAAAATGTTATTAGCAAAACTGCGAGGGCTGCCAACTAATAAGTGTGAGTAATGGAAGCTTCTATCCCTTGAGTTGCGAAGAATGTGGATTTAAAATAGTCCCCTTCTTATTGTTTATATTTGATACGAACTATTTAAATATCATTATTAATTTAAATTAATATTTTTAAATGATACTAAAAATATTGTTCTTGTTTTGTAGTTGACTTCTTCAAAAATTAAAATTAAAATTTAAATATTATAAAATTGAAACTGTCTAAATGATATTTAGTTTCATAAGATTTTTAATTTAAAAAAATTCAAGTAATTATATAAAAGCACATGACATTTAGCTTCGCATACGCATATATCAATAAGTATATTATTTAAATATACATATTTATTTAATATTATTTTTATCTATTAATATGACTTATTTTATTTGTATACTACTTATTTTATTTTTATACTATATTGTATTATTTGTTAGAGAAAATTTTTATTTTTAAATGACAATAATTAAGTATGTAATTTGAATTATTAATATATGAATTATTTCAAATAGTAAATAATAATTATTAAATTATTGATTTGTGATATAATAATAAATTATACTAGTATGTAAATATAGAAAATATTATACAACTAGTTAAAAACTTGCGGTAGAATAGTGATGGAAATATTTGCAAGAGACTTTTCTATCACAAAACTAAAATAAGGTATTCGAAAAATTAACAACATAGCAAATTCCGTCGGTAAATAATTTTTAACAGATAAGTAATAAAATAATGATGAAAAAGTTTATTAGAATTTATTCTGCCACTGAAGTTTAAATTGGTTTTTTTTTTTTTAAAGTTGGGTGACCATAGAAAAAAATGCGACCAAGTGCGACTTGGATTCATTTGTTGTTATGGTGACCAAAAATATCTTATAGAGCACCCAAATTTCTTCTGTTTGATTACATTACTTTCCTTGTACAAACAAAATCACATATAAAAAATGCAATATTTCCAACTCATTCATCACCATCACTCCCTCTCATTAATCAAATTCTTTCTTCTCTTTACTTCCTCACGGTCTTTTCCTTCCAGAAACATTCAACCATGTTTATTACAAAAACCATATGGACCTCAATTTCTCATGTTGCCTTAGCTTGTGTTTCCATTTTTCTTGGCGACTACGTTTCCACCAAACCCCCACATTTCAGATTCGAAACATAGTATTTCCAAGGGGAAGACTTATCCTCTTTTTATCTCTCATGCCTATTACTCTTCCGATCCTTAATATAAAATCTAATTATTGAGTTAATTTTGATCCTAAATATAAGACCTATTTATCATATTTATCATTTTTTCTTAAATTACCCTTATTGATACTCCATCAATCATAATTAAATAAAAAAGGAAGGGAGGGTATTAAGGAAGATGATTATGGTGTTTTAGGAAAAACATGTCATATTGCTTATAATTAACTAACTTACCTAACTTTCTTAATCTAATCAAATTAGTTAAATAGGTCTTATATTAAGAACCGGAAGAGTATATTTTTTCCAAACTAATATATTTAACTTATAAACTAATATATAATTTAAAATTATGCAAAGTTATTTCACACCCACATCATGCCTGGAGATTTCTCTATTTATAAATAAATCAATCTAAGTTTCAAATTTCTGTATTCATGTGATATTCCGCGAAAAATTCATTATATGTGGATATTTGGTTTGTATCTCAGCAAGGGACCTCCCTGCATTTATTGACTCCTCAAGGTCCAGATTTCAGATCTCTAAATCATTTTTTCCAGCCAACAATTTTTATCAATCTATCTCTCTCTATAATTGAACTACCCTTATTCATAAATTATGATTATGAATCTATGATCGAGCTCTGCTATATACAATACATGTGGCCAGAGATTTTATACTATATATCATGTGAAAAATATTTTAAAATATTCAACGATGGAAAAAATCTTAAAACAATATAGCTATAGATCATATTAATGAATTACTAATGAGTTTCTTTAACCCAAAAAATTTAAATATAGTCATATTTTTTCAGCTTGAATCAATTGAATTTTTCGAATCGTTCATTAAAATTGCATGGAATGACTCAATATGCATTAGATTTGTTACACAAGTGATAATTACATGGTCATGAAAAATAATATTCATTTTGTAATATAAATTACACTACAAAATGAGTCTTATATTTAGCATAGGAAGAAATAATAATTTTGGTTAATTAAGCATGTGAGTAATGAAAAATTAGGTGACAGAACTATTTACTTGTTTCATACCAACGAACTAAATATTGTATTGTCTTTGTCTATTTCACAGACCAAAATATATGAATAAAATTTAATAGGAGTTGAGGCTACATAAATCGCATCGTGCCTAGATCATCGTATTAATTTAATCCTTTTCTATGTTTAATCCAATCTGCCCAATTGAAACTCCTTTTTCTTTTAAGTCTTAATTGGATTGATTAATCGAAGTGGCTTCACATGAGTTGTGTCTTTTTAAATGATAATCACATTGTCGTCAATCCAATCGTTTTCATTACGTGATATGCTTTCCGTGACCTTTTCAATTAATTGGATTAGTCAATGTGATCACTACATCTGTGGGAGTCGTGTGCCACAATAAGAGTAATTTTTAAACTAATCTTATGGTTTGATTAATCAAAAAATTGATGATGATAGTTTTTACAAGTATATAAAATAAAAATAACATTATTTAAGACCACAATGTTGATGTACATCCCAATATTCTGTGTGAAAAATATGTTATGGCGAAAATAAAATGATTTCTATATCCCCCGGCAGAATTTTTTAAAAAAAAGTCATATATATAGACGCTTCGCTTGCCAATTATTTTCAATAAAACCATATTACGAACCACTAATGACCGATATGATTCATGTACGTGTACATAAAATATTTTGAATTTATGCAACATTTTTTCTTTCAAAAACTAGTATGGGACCATATTATGTCAATTAAATAAGTATATATTAAATACGTGTGTGTGAGATACAAAGACCCAAACAAAAACATTACATTATTCTCTCTATTCCTGGTAAAAGGAAAAAGAAAAAGGCACTATTATCACTATCATATAATATTATGTCCTAAATATAAGACTTATATTTGTAGTGCAAATATCATATAGTGGCTCCGTTTGGATTAGCGATAGAAAAAATAACTTATATTTAATCTGACTTTTAAAAAATGAGATTGGATAATATGATTTATATTTGAATTGGTTTTTATAAAAGTTAGTTTCTAAAGTAAAAAAGTTGCTTGGATTATGATTGAATAAATAAGTTTAGTTTGTAAAATGACCAAAATGGGTATAACTTCTATTAAATAAGGAAAAATGATTAAAAATATGAATTTACAAGAATTATATTAGATAATTAATTAGATAATATACTCTCTATAATTTATGTAAATATAAAATAAAAATAATATTAAAAATTAAAAATATTATAAAAACTGTTAAAAATTATTTTCACTTAAAAAATATTAAAATAAATAATTAAAAACCGACTTGGAAGCACAAAGAACATATAGAGAGAAGTATAAGAACAGCATAAACATAAAGACAAAAATATCTTTTAATTCTAAAAAGTTACTTTTACACAAGTATAAATAAGTTTTAAGTATTTTTACAATCGTACTTAAAAAAGTAGTTTTTAACTTATGAGTCAAATTAGCCAACAGCTCCCAACTTTATAAACTGACTTATTGCAGTTATAAGCTACTTTTACCCTCTCAAACGCCGTACCAAATGAGCACAATATCATCTTAAATGTCAAGATGATATATATATATATATATATCATCAACATTTGAAACACCAATATATGCCTGGCATATAAGGATTTGTTTTTGAAAAAAAAAATTATGATAGACTGTTGGGTAGAAGCCAAGTTAAATCATGCAAATTAACTTGTCAGACTCCACCTTCTTGGTCAGAAATACATATTCCGGTGTGGGACGTAATATATGGCGTTGGTCTCTTGGATTCACGACTCTGACAAGTCAAATAAAATAAATGCGTCCATATAGTGGAAATTTGAATGAATATGTATATACAGTATACACACATACCACAACAATACTAGTGAATGACTTTTCATTAATACTTTTTACAATTTACCAGATTAATTAGCAGTTGAAGTCTGCCATGAATAAGCTAATTAGATGAAACATGGTGCAAAATACTGTGAAGAGAGATAAGAAATAACGGAGGAACCTTTAGGCTCGTCGTTGCAGCCATTGGAGAATGGAATATAAAGTATAAGCCAAGCAGATTGCGGGTGAGACAGAAAAAAGGGTGAGTTTAAGAGGGAAGAAGGATTCAATCGCACTGGCCACCAAAGTATTCCAAAGCCAAAACCATGACCAACTGAATACCATCCCAATGCCTCCGCCCACCACCACCTGGCTTACTGTGTGAAACTGCTGCGACACTCGTAGGTATGACTGCCAAAATTACCACACCATTATTGTTATTTATCAGCTAATACCTTGATGAAGGACTCGACAGACACATATATAGATGTTTTATTTTAACGTTGCATGTGAGTTTAATAACTCGAAAACAGTAGGCATGCGATGCATCCTTCAATTATGATCAGTAATAGTAGCGTAATAAGGTCACTTAGGCTTCATTAAACAAAGGAATAGAACCTAGGCAACAACACACGTACGCACACACTTACAAAATAAGATCCAAATGCCAGTGTCAGTCCGCTGACTGTGATGGTGAATTCATTCATCCCTGCCCATTTGATACCTGCATAATTCAAGTTTCCAACTATTATATAATCTGTTCTCACAAAATTATTCTGAAGAGAGTGCAAACTAGTGGAGTGCATCTAATAATATTACAATACTTCTAATAGGTGGGAGAAGTTACACGACAAAATGGCGAACATGGCAATGAAGTAGAAAGTTTGGGCGTGAGAAGAGGGCATCCCAGGGTCACATTTGAGGGTAGAAGGTCTTTCCTGGTTCAGTATTTGCTTCAGCTCCACCGAGAGCATCATATTTAAAGCACATCCTAGTGCAAACCAAAGGGTTTCTGCATCATGCCTCCATAGAATGTACGCATTAAATATAATAGTTGTCATCCACTTGCTCTGTAAAACAACCCCAGATATATTAGCTCGTCGAAGTGAAGGGGAGCAATAGAGGCTTTGGCCAACGGAGATATGACAACTTTTAGGTATATATATGAACACACGGAACCATATCCTAATCAGAATTTTAAACTCGATGAGCACAAGTAAAACAAATTACGAACCAGTCTATTGATGATTGATTCCATCCTGCGGAACACAAACGTTGAAGGAATCGACTCGGATGACCCGTCAAGACAAGTTTCTTGTTCGAGACCTCGAAGTCCTCCATCACTATGGCTCTTTTTGAAAGCCGAAGGTTCAATCAAGTTCTTCACAGTCTTTGGTACCCAGAATCCTTTTATTCCAAAAACAGCTCTCCTCAGAACAATTCTGCCGCGAAAGATTGATGATGAAGCGGAAAAGGTGTGAGGAAATGAAGAATCTTTGAAGCAGCATCTGTGATTAAGCGAATTGGTGGGGTTGAAGTGAGCGAGAATAGCTTTGTTGGGAATGGTGGTGGTTGAAGCCATGTGGACGAGTGGTAGCATCCAAGAAATTGGCATACATATGTGTGTGTTGTAAGCCAATAAACTATATATACACTTGCAAGGACATGTGAGAATGGAGCTGCTATGCCCAAGCATGGGATCTGTTTGCTTATATTGATTAGGAAAAAGACTAAGGGGTGTATTAAAAAAATCAAACCATGTTTGAAAAATAACTTCTGGAAAATAGATTCTTGAGAGAATATAGATTTTGTGAAAAAATGATTCTAATAAAGTGAAAGTATTTAGATAGTTGTTATTAAAAACACTTTTATATGTGCAAATTACTAAAAAGATATAAGTTAATATGATAATTACATAAAAGATAAATTTTATAATATATTTTAATTTGAAGGAATAAAATTGTTATAATATTTTTTTACCACATAATTAATAATGTATAAGATATGTAATTAATAAATAATTAATATGTGTATATATATTTATAAAATATAAGATTAAATATATTATAAAAAAAATAATTGAGGGGGCATTAAAGTCATATTATTGTTGAGATTTATTTTAACAGGCACAATCATACTCTCTAATTTGAATTATAAACATAATGGATTAACTTCTCCTAAAACCATAGTTTTGAGCCTAAATCCATGGTTTTGGCCCAAAATATGATTTTACTTTTTTCTCATTGTTTAGCAATTGTTTTGCCCCAAACCATAGTTTGGACAGTTACCCAAATAGGCCCTAAAAAGGACACAAATTCCTTTATTTTAGGGTCGTCAACTGGAGCCTGACGAGACCTATCAATCATAATAGGAATTATCACCTTTTTTATGAAAAAATTTGCAGAGCCAGGTTTGAGTATTGCCGAGAATAGTATAGTTTATATCTGTTCGGATATATAATTAATCGCCCTTGTTAACTTATGTAATGGCTGTTTGGTCACATTATCAAGTTAATAGCCTAAACATATTAGCTTGATCTGACACCAAACGTAATATATACATATAGAGAGAGACGCAATATGCTTGGCTTATGAACATTTTTAAAGAAGGAGAATAACAAAAAAAGAAGTTAAAAATCACTAAATCTCAAATCAGGTTTGGTACAATACTTTATTTGATGTTAACAACACTGAATTCGTAAATAACAACAAATTTTTGTTGACATTCCTTATTTAGTATTTACAAATTTTTAACTTCTTTTTTTATCATTTTTCTTTTTAAATATTTGTTGCTTGTCATAGGTATCTAAATCGTCGTTTCCAGAGTCTTCAGAACAGAAGGACGCATGTGACGATCGATGAGCTTGTATTTGAAGTAAAGTCAATTAAAGGGGCTGGGGCTGGGATATTCATCCTGTAGTAGAGATGTGGCATCCTTCGTCAAAATTGGCAACCTTGGTTACTTGCAACAGAATTCTTGAACTACTCCTGAATTAATCCCACTAGTATTTTCTGCTGGTGGGTGAATCAGGTCAAGTAATTGATTTGATGGAGCTGAGAGAGTCATGTTGAGTCATATTAATTTCTCAACTACCCCCATATATATATATATATATATATATATATATATAAACACACACGGTTGGCTTGTCCCCTCCACTAATAATCAACGCAACTCTGGAAGAAGCCAACCAGCAGGACCGACACTACGGCCAAAATTATACAAAACATGTACTAGTGCGTAAATTAGTGATATTAATGGCAATGGACCTTAAGTATAAGGTCGCAAATTTGAATATGTATGATGAATGGATGAAAAAAGAGACTTTTGGAGGAACTACACCCTGATTCGAAGCACATATATGACTTGAATCCGAATTATGTTAATCGAAGTTTACTGTAACTTCAGATGGCAGATGGTGATCTATCAAAAGAATAAAAATTGTGGGAAGGCTGGAATGAACATGTGTGTGGTGGGCATATATATATATATATACACCACACACACACAAAGACATTTCATGGAAGGTCCACAGACGAGATTTATGATTTTAATTAAAAGCATTTACTCTTCCATAATAAAAATAATAATTAATGAAAAGCATTAATCTAGAGAAGTAATAAATAAAGAAACTGTCGTAAATATTATAGCATTTTGTTATATAATATATATATATATATATATATATATAAACTATTGCTTGTATTGAAGATACAATTTATTACTCCCCTCCGTTCCTTCCTTATTATAACAAACACAATAATCAAATTATGTTGATAAAAAAATAGTTAAAATTAGTTGAGTATTTATTGTCAACTCAGTAATACATAAGCTAAACTTTCACAGTATGAGAGGGGATACAGTGATAGTATTATTGAATATTGAGACGTAAGAAAGCGTTGTATTCAACATTTGAAATATAAACCCTAATACACAAGTTAAATCAAATTTGTGTTTAAGTAGAAAATTTAAAGTAAAACGCAGCCTAAAATAATCATCTATGACAGTTCCCTCTAATACCACGACGCCAATTTAAATATAATACATGCCTTGAATTATTGAACGATGATGGACATAGACTTGTTTGAATCACAGTGATAAACACTAAAGCACATTTCATGTAAGCTAAGATAAATTACCCACATACTTGCATTATATTCTGCAAACTATTTAAAATAAAAGCTGCTTATAAATCATTTTAAACGAGCCCAAATGTTTCCATAAAAATTGTCCCCCCCCCCACCCTCATGTTGATAAACGCAGTTTTCTTGTGGGGCTTTAGAAGCTTCTTAGTGAAAATTTCACGTCTTTCTCAGGCAACACGAACACAGTGTTAGAGAAATTTTTTTTAAGTTGCGCTGTTGTATTATTACCAATTAACGTAAGTTGTTCTGAGGTTCCTTTTTTTTTGTTTCCAAATTAACTGCAAATGAACATTTTGTAAACAATTGCATGGAATCTATTGGTAGTTGCCTTTAGGAAAAAAACAACGAAATATTTTGCTTTTGTCGTGATTCTCCCTCTTCTATTCATAAGAACATATCACCTTTACCTACTGTCATATCTTTCTCGACGAACATTTTAAGTAATGAGGGGTTGATTTCGTTGAGACTAAGAGAGATGCGAATGAAAGAAAGTATTTTCTCTGGAATAACTCAAAATATTTGTTTTGGAATGCTTTTAAAAATTTTATACCAATAATTTAATGAGTGCAGTACACTAATCCTTCTATTTCCTGTCAATTACATTTTTTTTTTTATTTTGTGAACCTTCAAAGACCGTCCCTAAAATTAGAAGTGACGGTATATAAATAGAGTTTAAATATTTCATTTCTACCCAACTAATCGAGTTACCCGTCAGCGCATTTGTTTTGGATCAGAACACTGCTTGTGTAAATGTTAATCCGTATTTTACCCACGGGCCATGTTTCTAAATGGGTTTATACTTGCAAGGCAGCTTTGAACTCTGGGCCACAGAGTGGCCCAGGTCGGTCTATGTATATAAATTGCAGATGGCAGGCTTATCACTTCTTTGAGGCGTTGGAGCACCGAAGGGATAGTATTTGCGTGCTTCTATGAGTATGAAATCAAAACACCTATTTATAAATTTTAATTTTTGAAAGTATTATTTATTTTATAAGTTTTAATTTAGATTTATTTTAATATTTAATGTTTTTTCAATTTTATTCTTCATTATTTTTTCCCTTTTTTGTCACATTTTCTCGTTATATTTTCTATACATTCTTTCCGCCTTTTTTCTCGCGCTTATTATGATGATATACTTAGAAATAAAATTATATTTCTTGCATATTATTTATTATTGTAAACTAATTTTTCATTTTACGCAAATCAGGTATTTAAGCTTATAATAAGTATATTGCTTGGAATATGAGTATTGGTACTGTGTGGCACCCCTTGAAATTGAAATCCCAGTGAAGTCCCCGCAAAATCAAGAATCGCTAATTAAATCCCAAAAAATTAAATGAAGTTAAAATTTTGAGCATATTTATATAAATATCCTTCTCTAAAAGCTTCCTCCTCTGCAATTACTGACGCTACAGAGCTTCGCCATTAATCATTGTTAAGCTCTGACGTCGACTTGTGAATTATTAAGAAGAAAGTTGAAGTGAAGTTTGATCGCACAGCTAGTTTCTATGTTCTATAATCATTGGACCACTACTTAACTCACACTTGATCAATGACCAACATTTTTAAAGAATAAGGTCATTAAGCAGAGTATTTTTCTCCAAAACTTTTATACTTCTTTTTTTTTTTTTTTTGCCAACTATACTTCTTCATTTTAATGTATGTTATTTTTATTTAATTAACATACTAAAGTTGGTAATATAATTAGACTCGTGAGTGCAACCCACCAATTCGCTAAAATGACGAGTTAGCCTAAGTTGTTATTGAACAAATTTTTTAACTCGCACCGCCTAACTCACAACCCATCGCAGGTTAGCCTGCTAACCCATTGGCACATTAATTTTTTTTTGTATTTTTTTTTTTTTTTTAATTTTATTAATTATTATAATTTGTTATTATATTTATATCTTATCTCAAAAATTTAAAAAAAAATACCTATATCGTTTATTTGATGTTTTCAATCAGGGTATTTGAAGGAAAGATAAAAATCCCATTATATTTTCTTTATATTATATAAGAAAAAATATTTAAAATGAAAAAAAAATAGTTGGCGTGTTGACATGCCAACCTATCAACCCACCATAGTGAAACTACACATTACATTAGGTCTTTTCAACTGTAATCTGTCACAAACTAACCCACAACTCACAAGTTGACCCGTGTTACCACTTCTAATAGAGACATAGTTAAGTAGTCATGATTTTAATTTTTCCCCAGTTTAATGAAGAGAAGTACTCTCTCCTCCTGTCCTATTTATCAGACAGAGAGATAAGGTTATTTTTTGTTCTATTTATAAGTCATTTCATTAAATTTTACGATGAACGTACCATATTGCCCTTTATTTATTATAGTCTAAATAGTTATTTTTTTAAAGGAGTATATTAAATATGGGTAAATTTGAAAAATTTTTATATTTTATGAAGAGTTAATACAATTTAAAATGTTTCTTTGTCTGTGTGATATATGTTGAAAATGCTTTTAAATAGGATCTGAGGAGTAATTTTTAACATACTTTCATGGCATTTCCGAAAGTAAAATCTTATAAATTATGAAACATGAACCAACTAAAAAGAAAAATCTTATAAAATTAAAAAAAATAAATACAAAACGAGGTCTTATAATTTACAACCGGAGGTAGTGTTAAATATTCATTAAATGTTATTAGTACTAGCACAATGTTGTATTTATTTGATTAAAAAAATTCTCATTTTGTCAGTTCAAACAATGTAATTTTGTTTTCGAAGCAAAATATTCATGCAATATTTAGATAACAGAGGTGATAAAACGTTTATTAGTAGTTGGATGGAGATTAAAGTGAGTCATTAAATTGAAGCAAGGGACGAAACTGAAATAGTGGGAAAAAAGACAAGGCATGCAGATACAGTTCACACGAGCGGATCCAGATTGAGCTTGGACAATGGTGCTGCATTATTGACTGTCTTTTGTCTCTCGGTTTCTGCCATGTTGGAGTGTTGGACTATTCCTACTTCTTCTGATTTGGTCAAACATTCACTCCCAACTCCCTTTGCTTCTCTATTTTGATACCCTCCAAGTCTCTTCTATATTTTCAGTTCCTTTTATCTCCAGATGCAAATCTTAATTAATCTGATTGTATATGTAATTAAGGCATATTTTCAAATATACCTCCTATGAAAAAAAAAATTTAATTGCCTATCCAACCCTTCATGGTTTAATATGCACTATGTTTTTAATCTCCTGATTAAAGAAATTATTTTTTATACATCACACAAACTATAGTGTCTTCTTAATTGTGTACCCTTTTTTCCTTAAAATTGAAACTCAGATGAAGAAATAAAGGGCGTAACGAAGAGCTATGCCCGCGTCTTATAATATGATAATTATTAATAATAATTTGAAATAAATTCATCACTGTGGTATCAACTGTATAAGTTGAATTTTTTTATCTCATTGATAAAAAAAATGACACAGATAGATCATTAATTAAATATGTACGTGAAAAAAATTGCTCTATTATTACTATAGTACTTCAACACAAAAAGGAGCTTCCGGCCTGCTGCCGCAACCGGCAGGTCAAGTGCGGCCGCGTACGGTTGATATCACTCTTTCGTCGTGATTCTTGGGCCATAATAAATCATTGTCACGATTACAATTAAAATTCCTTAAATCATGAACATGAAGGCTAACATACATAAACTTGTGGTTTTTCTTTTTTTTCCTAATGCTTGTTCAAGAACACTGGAGAGGGCTGCCCTAAAATTGGGGTAGAGGATCATATAGATTCGGCCAGGGAGGTCCGGCTGGTTCAATGGGTGGCATTTCTAAAGAATAAACGGCAGCACTGTGAACACTGAACAGTCACCATGTTATGTTATTCACATGTAGGGGTCGCCTCGCCTGGCCCAAAAAAAAAAAAAAAAGTCATTTGTATATCCCACGTTTAAAATTCACATGCTGTTGTTTGTTTATTTCATATCAGACCGCACAGAAAAATAAGGGGTTTATGCAAAAAGCTAGGCCCCCCAGGCGTGACATAAAAGCTCGGACACACGCGGGCGAGCGGTGACAGATGGACCCCTCACGTGAAAAGCCACGTCGCGTCTCATCACCCTTCACCCATATCTAATTAATCCCCGTCTTGAGCTTATATATGCTTCCTATTTCATATTTGAGCCTTGCCCCGTTTTAACATATACATATCTGAATTTTTTTTCCACTTAATATATATAAATATATTTTATTTTATTTTATTTTTTTGGTATCTCTTTCTTTTAAAAATTCAAAAATAAAACAACTGAACAAGATTTAGTTTATGATGAGTTCAGCTGCGTGTTGGAATGGGCTGGTGCAAGGGGGCAGATGAAAGTACTGTTTCTGAGGGGTTCAATAAAATGCAACAGAATCGTGTATTGTTAGTTGTACTTGGGTTCTGTGGAGTTGAATTATTCATAACCCACCTCCCCATTATTTTTATCTCTCTCTCAAATTAATTCTCGTTATTTGACCCCCCCTTCTTTTAATCATGCAATGATTTTTTTTTTTGAAATTAATTGCATGAAAACAACTGCCACCCATAAAGTTTCGTACAACATATGCAATATTATCGGTGTGTCTCGAAAACTAGTTGATATTACTCTATATATAAAAGATGGCCTCCTAGATAGTCGTTATCTCTTAAGAAAAATTATTCACTAGGAGGGATATTACAGCAAGCTTGAATCGAAATATCTGGACTTATTTTTGACATTTTTTTTTATAAAAAAGCAATTGGGGTTACAACTGAGGAGACGGGGTACGTGGTCGCAGCAAGGGAGGAGGCCCAGAGTTCAATAATTCAGGGCTCACTGGTTTTTAAATATTCATTCGAGCAAGAGCAACTGGGGAGTGGTACCTTTCCGTACACTTTACATATCCTGAGTATGAACCACCCACAAATTTTAAAACATATAACAACACAATAATTTTTAATGATGCTAGAAACTTAAAAGGATTCACAAATGTTTGAATGAACCCATTTCAAGTTCATTCTTATCTTTTTTTTAATCTGAAAAATTTAGGGGTATTAATGTTTTTTTATGTCTGTAATTAACTTGCAATCATATCTTTCAATTTTTTTTAACCAGCAATCATGTCTTACCTCTTAATTCCACAATACAAATTGGGGTTTCTCCTTTATTGTGCTTTAAAGACAAAAAATGCCATTTATTTATTTATTGGGGAAAAAAAACAGGCAGGGCAAATAAGACAGGGGAGTGTATATAAAATTCAGACACAACTAAAAATCTAAAAGTTGGTGAAACATTTAAAAAAATAAAAGAAAAGGAAAAAATAAAGTCACATACAATCTTACGTGGATGTTTAGCTTACCTCTAAAATTATTATCTCCTGTTCCTAATATAAAATTCAGTTGGGAATTGAATTGATCATGAATATATCATCTTAATACATTTTATTTCTTATATTTACTACTACCTTCGATCTTAATTATAAAGTTAATCAACTAATTTGAGTAGATTAAAAAAATAAGTTAAGTTGCTTATTGTAATAAATAGGTGTTGTATTTCCTATAATATCCTTACTAATCAAGTGTGTTGGCTAAAACTACAATTAGTAGAAAGACTATCTTGGAAAAATTGTATAAATATGAAAAAGTGGATTGAGGTCTTATATTTAGGACCAAAATAAAATTAAACAGGTCTTATATTAAGGACCGAAGCTAATATTTTTTAAACCAATCCAATTATAAGCTTATACATATATATACACTAATGGGTCAAAATATGAATTTGGTACTCTCATGCTTCAAGTGTATTTGAATTAGTGTTAGGTAAACAAAATTTATGAAATTTATTTATAAGCATGATTTTGGGGCAGAAAGTGTATAAGAAGTGCTTATTATATATTTTCAAGAAAATTATGATTTTATCTGATTATAATCCAGTAGAACCTTGTAAATCAAGCCAAACTCAAATGATTGAAAGGAGGTGAGAAGAAAGAGGGAGGAGAGACGGAGGTGGAGTTCTATAAATAAGAGCGGGATCTGAGAGCAGAAGGACTTCTGCCCTGAGGCGTCTCTGGACTTTGGATTGGAGTACTCCCACTCTCTCACACACCCACTCTGTCCTTACTTTACAGTGTTCCACTCTGCCACTCCAAACCATTTCGCAATCCTACTCTCTTCCATGGATTCCTTCAACTTCCCCAACTTCCACCCCCACAAAGCCACCCCTATCCCCACCCACCACCTCTTCTCCGCCCTAACCAAAGCGCTTCGCATTCTCGAACTCTGCCTCGCTCTGCTCATCTCTCCTGGACCCTCCCCGCCTTCCCTTCGCTCTCTCTCTCCTCCTCCTCCGCCAATTCTCTCTCTTCCTCTCCAGCCCTCTCTTCGTCTTCTTCCTCTCCAACGCCATCATAGCCACCCTCGTCGCTAAATCCGGTCCTCCTCCCGCCCCGGCTCCACTCCCGATGCCGACGCCCAAATTTACCACGAGCTCCTCAAAAACGCGCGCACCGTACCGCGCCTGCGCCCGAAGCTGATCCTGATCCTCTCTTGCGTGTCGCGGGAGGGGAGGTGGTGTATCAGGCAGGACAAAGAGATTGTCTCCGAGACCAATTCCACGGATCGTACGTCTCAGGATAAAGCTGACACCCGTCGCCATTAAGGACACGGATTCGAAAGCCGGGCTAGATTCTGATTTTGCCAAAGTGTACCGGAGGACTCAGTCGGAAAAGTTGAAGGAAGAGTGTCCGGAGCGGACGCAACAGAAACTCCGGCGATCGGAGACGGAGAAGAAGCACATGGAAAATGGGCGGGAGAGTATGTATCCTCAGGATAACCTGAGCAATGAAGAGTTCCAGCGCACCATAGAGGCATTCATTGCCAAGCAAATGAGATTTCTGAGGGAAGAATCGCTGGCCATTGTTATTCAGAACCAGAGCTAAATGGGTGCCTACAATTAATTAGTGATAGAAACTAGAAACTGAGAATGAGAATGAAGAGTTCGAAATCTAGATATCTGGTGTACTTGCTTTCCTTTTCCCTTTCACTCTTTTCCTGGGGTAAGACAGACAATTACTCCTCCATCTTAATGCCTTCCACCTATCCCCACTGCATCGTACACTGTTAATTTCTCGATCTAATTGAATACCGAAATTAAAATTTCTTAACAATGCCCGTTTTCTGTATTCTGTTCCTGAAACGATATCTTCACATCCGCCAAGTTTTTATTTGCTAAAGTGTGTGAGTACGACCAATTGACGCATGCTAATCGAAAACGAGTCACAGAACCATCCATTTCTACGAGGAAATGTTCCGAGGGACAGGTGGTTGGTTGATCAATTAATTAATAACAAACTAAAAGAACTGGAATCGATGCCGGCATACTTTAATTTCTCTTTGGATTATTGTTGCTATTAAGAGGGAACTAAGTCTGAGACTTGTTTCCAGGTTCGATTATATGCAGGGAATAAAAAAGTAATGGAATAGAATTGTATTCCCATACGACGTGAATGGCTGTTGCTCCGTTTGATTCAAGTGGCATCGGAAAGCATATCTATTAAGCATGTGAAGATAATATTTTTATCATTTTTCTCTTAAATTTATATTAATTTTTCTGTAAATAAAAAAGGCTTCTAAATATGCGCATTAATGGTGGGATGGAAGTGATCCCAATTCTGGCAAAAGCTTGGTTAGTAAGGGAGAAAATTTTCCCTCGCCCTGCAGCCCACATTTTTGAATCTTATATATGCGCAGCACTTATGGAGGGATCACGAGGAGGCTACTGGTTTCTTCTGGTTCTTCTGCTGCCTCTGGTGTCTAATTATTATAGAGTTAATTTCGACAATATAGAAACAACGAAAAAAAGGGGTTGTGCAGAAAAGTTAAACCAAAAGTACGTATAATATGCTCTTCTTTATTTTTGTTTTCTTTTATAAACTTACACAAAAAATTACAATACTCCAATATTTACCTATACATATATCACGAGTTTTATTAGTAAGGGAAGATTTAGTGAGGTTAGCGAAGGTGAGGCTTACAACATGACCATTATAGGGAGAATGATAAATACTCCTCTGATCCTATTTATAAAGCACTTTCAGTATATTTTCCACACAAAAAAAAACCTTAAACTTTATTAACTTTCATTTAAAATTTAATGACTTTTCAATTTATCCCTATTTAATATACATTATACCTCATATAAACAAAGTCACCACAATAATAAATGAAGAGTGAAATTGTATATCCATACAATAAATTTTTCTCACCTATCCCCACTGCATCGTACCACTGTTAATTTCTCGATCTAATTGAATACCGAAATTAAATATTCTTAACAATGCCCGTTTTCTGTATTTCTGTTCCTGAAACGATATCTTCACATCCGCCAAGTTTTTATTTGCTAAAGTGTGTGAGTACGACCAATCGACGCATGCTAATCGAAAACGAGTCACAGAACCATCCATTTCTACGAGGAATATGTTCCGAGGGACAGGTGGTTTTAGTTGATCAATTAATTAATAACAAACTAAAAGAACTGGAATCGATGCCGGCATACTTTAATTTCTCTTTGGATTATTGTTGCTATTAAGAGGGAAAAATAAGTCTGAGACTTGTTTTCCAGGTCGATCATATGCAGGGAATCAAAAAGTAATGGAATAGAATTGTATTCCACATAAGACGTGAATGGCTGTTGCTCCGTTTGATTCAAGTGGCATCGGAAAGCATATCTATTAAAGCATGTGAAGATAATATTTTTGTCATTTTTCTCTTAAATTTATATTAATTTTCTGTAAATAAAAGGCTTCTAAATATGCGCATTAATGGTGAGGATGGAAGTGATCCCAATTCTGGCAAAAGCTTGGCTAGTAAGGGAGGGAAATTTTCCCTCGCCCTGCAGCCCACATTTTGAATCTTATATATGCGCAGCAGCCCTTATGGAGGGATCACGAGGAGGCTACTGGTTTCTGCTGCCTCTGGTGTCTAATTATTATAGAGTTAATTTCGACAATATAGAAAAACACGAAAAAAAAGGGGTTGTGCAGAAAAGTTAAACCAAAAGTACGTATAATATGCTCTTCTTTATTTTGTTTTCTTTTATAAACTTACACAAAAAATTACAATACTCCAATATTACCTATACATAATATCACGAGTTTTATTAGTAAGGGAAGATTTAGTGAGGTTAACGAAGGTGAGGCTTAGCAACATGACCATTATAGGGAGAATGATAAATACTCCTCTGATCCTATTTATAAAGCACTTTCAGTATATTTTCCACAGACAAAAAAAACCTTAAACTTCATTAACTTCATTTAAATTTAATAACTTTTCAATTTTTATCCCTATTTAATATACATTATACCTCATATAAACAAAGTCACCACAATAATAAATGAGGAGTGAAATTGTATATCCATACAATAAATTTCTCTCGGTGCCCTATAAATAGGAAAAAAAAAAAATATTTTCTCTCCGTCCTATAAATAGAACTAGGGGAGTATTAGTTAATGGAAGATTTAGTGACATGGATGAATGGGTTGGAAGGCATAAGTCAATAATTGAAGATGCGCTCTCTGCCTAGAATAAAACGAACACTTGGGATCATATTGCATGGAAGAATTTGTAAGAGGGGATTAATGGAATGTAAAGTACAGTCCGTGAGATATTTGAGAAACACAAATTCTCCAAACTATTAGCCCAGGATATTATTGCACATATGCCATTATGCCTCCCAATTTGATTAAATGATGGTATTGTTACTCTAACTACATTTTAGAAGTTTTCATGCATCCTAAAACAATTGATGAATACTTACTAAAATATATCAACAGAAAGTTACATAAAAAGCAACCATTGCTCTCCCTCTTCTTTCACCTCCCTACCAAAATATATTAATTCGTCTTTCTTTTCATTTCAAAAATATCATTAGACTCCTTCATATTTAATATGTACAATAAAGATTGTTACTGATGCGTTTTTGTTAATGGGATTTGATATATTATTTTGAGAAATACCCTTTTATAATTTATCATTATTAAAGTTTTTTTTTCAAAATAATAATTTTTTAAATTTTTTTACATCATCCCGATAAAAATAAAACTATATATGTTTTATAAGAGTTTGATATAAATATGTATATAATAAATTTAGATCATATCGAATAATTTACAGGCCATTTACTTTCCATCTCACTTTTGGAATCTATGCAATTCCTGGAAAGAAAGTATGGTTATAATGTTACGCTCCATGAAAAACAAATTTATAACAACAAAGATAAGAGATATAAATATTGTAAATATTAAATTTATAATAAATTATATGATTCATAATTTATGGATAATGTGACTATCGTGGATCAGCTTCATAAAATATTTATATACTTTTTTATTTTTTTAATATTGTTGTATCTTTTCACTTGGCACAAAAGTTGCACTAAGGTTTTTATCCTTTAATCCTATTTGTAATTTTTATGGATCATGTGGGGAAAAATATTTGGTTTAGTTAATTAAAAAACAAAAGCATGTTGCCCGTATACTTCTTCGGTTATTACATACTTACTCTAATTTGAACTTAATTTTAAAGTTAATTTGGAGAGTGGTATTATACTCTTTCATGTTCATAATATTATAAGTTACTTTAATAAATTCATCAATCTCAAAAAAATAGTAGATAACTTATTAAATTTGTTCTCAATTAAACTTTTTTTCAACTTCACTCATGTTAAATAAGGTTGTAGTGGAAGAGAGAGAGAGAGAAATACAAGGAATTAAATTTAAACATTAATTATAGAAATAAAATTAATAAATAAATATTAATTATTTTTAAACTGACTTATATTTTTGACCCAATCATTCTTCTAGAAATTTTTTGCATTGTGGATGAGAGGGTGTGCATTGAATTATTTAGTAGTGAAATTATTGATGATATAGGGAATGAGGCCTAGTTTTGCTCACGGCCATCAGATGGAAATGTCAAGAGGTCCCCATGGGCCGCTTTTTCGTCGGCAAAAGGCTTCTCCGGTGGATAATTAAGCACCAATCATTGTAAAATTATGTGATCATCATTGTCAAAGCAAAATGACCCCTCTCCTTTTCTTCCCCCCCCCCCCCCCAAAAAATCAACACTTTACTTTTTGTCCCACTCATTATGCTACCCCATAATCTTCATTCCTAATCCTGCGTTTAATTATATACTTATGCATATCCCAAACCTTTCCGTCTTCCCAAAAAAGCCCTTCTTTTCCTTCTCCTTTTCATCTCTACTCATCATTGCTTCCACTTCTACTTTCTAATCCCCGTCTCAGTGGTCAGTTTTCTTCTCATCCTGACATTTTATTTTACATAAAGGTATGTTTCCTGACTTCACGAGCCTATTTCTTCCCCATTCATTTCCCCTCTCGACGCCTAATGTCTTGGCACGTTGCGATTTTTTTGTTTAGTGGGGGCTAACAGGCACTAAATCATCAATTTTTTTTATAGTAAATTATACATAATCTCGAATTAGTATAATTAATTTGAAAGGGAGGGAGTATTGATTGATGCCATTCTCAATGATATTGACGTACGGTTGCTTGCCATAAACTGGGAATCAAGGCGCTTAAGTTTGACAAGATTAATAATGGAGCCAGTAACTTTGGGCGTTGAGAGGCCTTTTTCCACACAAGTCCACAAAAACTTTTAGTAGCTCTTGCATGCCTACGCCGAAGAGGGACCCGTCGTATTACAAAATATCCACACTCCAAACCCACTTCTCTTAATAAACTACATAAAAACAAGACCGTGTCATGATTATGTTCCAACAATCAAACAAAAGTACAATCAAATTATAGATTCTCCATCCATCGACACCCACACGCATTATCATCTCCAAGTACATGTCCTTGACTTAAACGATAGGTTTTTTGATTGAGCCGGGAAAATGGTTGATGTGAGTCTAAGGATATTACATTACAAGTATATGGAGATCCTATGGAAATTACCCAAAATTGTAAGAATATGTAAGCGTTGAAGAGAGTACTTGATAAACCCAAATAAACTGATGAGAGGAAATGATCTTATGTAAGGCAGAGAGATGGAGAACTAAGAACAGGGGAGGGTACAGGACAATACAGAGGGAAAGTGGACCCTCCTGTAATGGGAAGCATT